GTGCTATAGCTTTCATGGGAATATCCAACAACTATTCTGTCAAGCATAGGAAATGTTTACAAATTTTTTAAATTTTTTACAAAAAACAATAAGTTACATTTCAGAAAAATATTTCTGTTTATAAACATACAACATTTGACTTGGCTGTCTGAAAGATTTGTAAAGCTTGGCCAATCCATGCATTCTTCCACCCAAATGAACATGTTAACAGCTCAAACAAACCAGGCAAGAATGCCAGAAATCTCAACTTGATTTGGTGAAGCAAGACTCAAGAATCTAGGACCTAGGATTTATTCAGTCACAGAGGTACAGTATTTGGTTGGAAGAAAAATATTTGGTCTGGAAGGAGCACTGGTAGAATCGGTGAGCCTCGGTTCTTCCAGTCCACCATTAACAGTAAAGCTTTAATTTTTATGCTGAAATTTTCTTCTTCTCCCATATAGGCAAAAGAAAGTCATTTTGAGAATCAATTGAGATGGTTGTTTTGAAAGTTCTTGGAAAACTATGAGGTACTTACTATATTTATGTAAGTAATCATCACTGAAGGCTATAGTATAGAATTGTATGAGGTTTCATTCTGTTGGTTTTTTTTAAAGATATTTTATTGATTGAGAGAGAGAGAGAGAGAAACATTGACGTGAGAGTGAAACATTGACGGGCTGCCTCCTGTATGCCCCCTACTAGGGATTGAGTCCAAAACCTAGGCATGTGCCCTGAGAATTGAACCAGCAACCTATCAGTGCACGGGATGATGCCCAACTAACGGAGCCAGGCTGCTGCAGGGCTTGTTTTGTTGTTTTTTAATCATAGAACCAAAGTTGATGAATTTTACACCTATTTCATTGACTTTGGAGAAAGTTATAATACGGCATGATTAGTCTTGATCTTAATGGATATGAGGGATAAAGAGAAGGATGCTTTCTTATAGAGTCTATAATTAGTCTATGGTTAATGTTAGCTCTTAAGTCAGTCCTGATGTTAAAGAACACTGCTTCACAACCCTTTACCAATTTAAGGAATACTTTTTAAAAAAAAAATCCTCACCTGGGGACATGCTTTTTATTGATTTTTTTAAAAGAGAGTGAGGAAAGGAGAGGGAAAGAGAAACATCGATCAGTTGCCTCCACTATGCACCCTGACTGGGGATGGAACCCACAACCTGGGTATGTGTCCTGACCAGGAATAGAACCTGCGATCTTTCATTGTATGGGACGACGCTCCTACCAACTGAACTGCACCAACCAGAGCAGAAATACTTTTCATAGATCTACTGTGCTAGACTGGTTGCACTAATAGTCCCAATTCTTCCCTCCTTTCTGTATCCACTCCTGTGTGGTTAAAAAAAAAAAATGCTTACCTTGCCCCAAATGATGTCTGCCTTTTGCCCTCAGTTTCTGGAAGGTAATCTCATAGCTGATGGGCGTGCTCTTATTTGCTTGGGAGCCTTGAGTCTCACAGGATAGCCTAACAATGTGATTTAGGGTGGGAGTTGGCCACACCCAACACTGTGACTTAGGGTGAGGACTTTGGGTGACAGAACCTCAGCACAGATTCTGGACACCACTGCTTGGGTGAGTTTCCTTGGTTGGCACATCCTATATGTATCATCACACATTGATGCTGGGGAAGTAATGCATCCTGGCTATGATACATTAAAGAGAAGCTCCACATTTAATACTTCCCTAGACTACCCTTGTCTGATTTCACCTGTACCCTTTCCCTGATAAGCCATCTCCATGAGTATAATAGCTTTCAGTGAGTTCCATGAGTCCTATTGAAAGTGGTCTTGGGAACCCCTTGAACTTGCAGTTGGTATCAGAAGTGAGGGGATCTCTTGTGGGGCCTGTTCCCTCTAACTTTGCAGTCAGCCTAAACCCCTCATAACACCCTCTGCCACGTAACCTTGCAGTACCCTCTCATTTTAACTCTGAGTCTGACTGTAAAATATGCTTTGTGATGCAAGCAGATGCGCATATTTCCACCTGTGCTTTTGCCCTCTGCCATCATCATCAAAAGAATGTGCTCATGCCCTAGCTGGTTTAGCTCAATGGATAGAGCCTGCAGACTGAAGGGTCCCAGGTTTGATTCCGGCCAAGGGCACATGCCTGGGTTGCAGGCTCAATCCCCAGTAGGGGGCATGCAGGAGGCAGCCAATCAGTGATTCTCATCATTGATGTTTCTATCTCTCCCTCTCCCTTCCTCTCTCTGAAAATCAATAAAAACATGTTTAAAAAACTATGAGGATTGTAGTTATCTATACTTTTGTTGCATTTATTAACCATGCATTATGATTGTTTAACACAGCTAATAATTGGTTAAATATTTTAACAGCTTTATTGACCTATCTATATATAAAGCCTAAGCGACCGAACAACCGAATGACCAGATGACAAAATGACCAGTTGACCGGTTGCTATGACGTGCACTGACCACCAGGGGGCAGTCTCTCAACACAGGAGCTGCCTTCTGGTGGTCAGTGCGCTCCCACAGCCAACCTCCCAGGCCTGGCCAACCTCCTGTGTTGGCATGCCCCCCCCAATTGGCCTCAATTTGGGGGCCAGCCAGACAACCTCCCGAGGTCCCTCCCCCTGGCTGGCCAGCTCCCCCATCGACCCCAATCTGGGGGGGGGGGGCTGGCCAGCCAACCTCCCGCGGTCCCTCCCCCAGGCCGGACTCCCCCCCCCCCCATCAGCCCCGATCGCTGGCCAGGCCAAGGGACCCCCCACCTGTGTATGAATTCGTGCACCGGGCCTCTAGTAATTCAAATAATGTACCACTTACTTAAAGTATGTAATTCAATATTCTTAAGTAGGTTCACAGAATTGTGTAATTATTAAAATCAATTTTACATTTTCATCACTTAAAAAAAGAAAAACAACCTCTGTTCCCATTAGTAGTCACCCCCCTTCTTCCCAGCACTTCCCTAACCCCCACCCCTAGGCAAGCTCTAAATCTACTTTCTGCGTTTACAGATTTGCCAATTCTGAACATTTTATACAAATGCAATATGTGATTTTTTGTGAATGGATTCTTTCACTTAGTGTAATGTTTCATGCTTCATCCAGTACTTCATTGCAGTACTTCATTCCCTTATATTGCCAAATAAAGTACCATTGTATGGATAACCACATTCTGCTCACCATTCATAAGTTCATGGACATTGGAGTTGTTTCTATTTTTTGGCTATCTTGAATGATGCTGGCACGAAACTTTGTGTACAAGTTTTTATGTGGACATATGTTTTCAATTCTCTTGGAAATATACTCAGGAGTGAAAATGCCGGGTCATTTGGTAACTCTGTATTTAACTTTTTGCGGAACTGCCAAACTGTTTTCCAAAGCAGCTACACCATTTACAATCCCACAGGCAGTGTATAGGGATTCCATTTCCTCCACATCCTCACCACTCCTTGTCATTATCTGCCGTTTTGATGTGGCCAACCTAGTGGGTATGAAATGGTATCTCGTGATTTTGATGTGCATTTCCCTGGGCCAATGATCCAACTTTTGGTACTTACTGGTCATTTTTCTATCTCCTTTGGATAAATGTCTATGCAGATCTTTTGCTCCCTTTAAAATTCAGTTATTTATCTTTTTGTTATGAGTTATAAGTGTTCTTTGTGTGTTCTAAGTACAAGTCCCTTATCAAATGTATGATTGGCAATAATGTTTCCCATTCTGTGGATTGTCTTTTCAAATTCTTGATGTTATTGTTTGTGGCACAAAAGTTTTTTAATTGTGATGAAGTCTGATTTTTTTCTTTTGTTGTGAAAAAAAAGTAACTGGGCTTTTGGCAGGAATGCATTGAATCTGTAGATCAATTTGGGGAATATTACCCTCTTAATAAAATTAAGTCTTTCAATCTGTGAACATGCGATTATTTCTATCATTCCAATATTCTCCCATGTGTATGTCAGCTTCCCTGCCCCACACACCCAGTCAGATATAACCCAGGTCTATAGCACATTATGGTAGTCAAAGGTATAGCTTCTGTTTTCTCATCAGTCACGTGCAAATAATAATACATATCTCATAGGATGTAAGGATTAATGATAAATATGCAGAACACTTTGCCTAGGACACAGTAAATGCTCAGTTAATTTTGTCTTAGTCTGTTTGGGCTGCTATAATAAAATACCACAGACTAAGCTGGCTTACAAACAATGGAAATTTATTCCTCACAACTCTGGAGGCTGGAAGTCCAAGATCAGGGAGCCAGCATGGTCTGTTCTGGTGAAGGCCCTCTCCCACTCCCAGGCTGCAGGCTTCCCCCTGTATCCTCAGGTGCTGAAAGGGCACAGGGAGCTGTCTCAGGACTCTCTATTAAGAACATTGACCTCATTCAACAGGTCCCGCCCACGTGACCTCAAGTACCTCCCAGAGACTTCACCTCCTAATCGTATTACCTTGGGCATTGGGATTTCAACATATGAGTCTTGGGGGATGTAAACATTCAGACCATAACACTATTTTTATTTTTATTATATGGCACTTAATGTTTAGTTGCTCAAAAACTGTTATTTTGATTTAAAAAAAAAATTTTAGAGCCCTAACTTTCCTAAGTATGCGCCCCATCTCTTGGAATTCTTTGACTTCATGTTTTGTTTCCCTCAAATTTCTCTGCCTTCCTCAAGGATTGTCAAAAGCATGATTCTGTCACCCCACACTCCCCAAATCCTCCCAGAGATACACTCTGATAAAAAGCATGGGTGCTACTTGGAAAGGTCCAAAAGAAATGGCTGGTCAACTAATCAGAACTATTACTCTTCCCTCCCATGTAACGTAGGTACATCTTAACAGTGACACTTAGAATTTAATAACTCATCTCTTACAGTCTAATGTCCACACTGAGAGAGTTTCTTTTAAAATGTAAGTTAAATCATTCCACGTTTCAATTCTAACTCTTCTGTAAAACCCCATCCCTCTCAGAATTTAAAAAAAAAAAAAAAAGCATTGGCACTCAAAAAATATCAATGGCTCTGTAAGAATGAGAAGACCTGCTTTTTCGCCACGGGTTTGCCGCCAGAACCCAGGTGTCGTGAAAACCACCGATAACTCAAACCCAAGATGGGAAAGGAAAAGACTCACATCAACATCGTCGTCATTGGACACATGGATTCTGGCAAGTCCACCCCTACTGGCCATCTGATCTACAAATGTGGGGGCATCGACAGGAGAACCATCGAGAAATTTGAGAAGGAGGCTGCTGAGATGGGGAAGGGCTCCTTCAAGTATGCCTGGGTCTTGGATAAACTGAAAGCTGAATGTGAGCGAGGTATCACCATTGACATCTCCCTGTGGAAATTCGAGATCAGCAAGTATTATGTGACCATCATTGATGCCCCCGGGCACAGAGACTTCATCAAAAACATGATTACAGGCACATCTCAGGCTGCCTGTGCTGTCCTGATTGTTGCTGCTGGTGCTGGTGGATTTGAAGCAGGCATCTCCAAGAATGGACAGACTCGTGAGCACGCCCTTCTGGATTACACACTGGGTGTGAAACAGCTGATGGTTGGTGTTAACAAAATGGATTCCACTGAGCCACCCTACAGCCAGAAAAGATACGAGGAAATTGTTAAAGAGTCAGTCAGCACCTACATTAAGAAAATTGGCTACAACCCTGACACAGTAGCATTTGTGCCAATTTCTGGTTGGAATGGTGACCACATGCTGGAGCCAAGTGCTAATATGCCTTGGTTCCAGGGATGGAAAGTCACCCGTAAAGATGGCAATGCCAGTGGAACCACGCTGCTTGGAGCTCTGGATTGCATCCTGCCACCAACTCATCCAAATGACAAGCCCCTGCGTCTGCCCCTCCAGGATGTCTACAACGTTGGTGGTGTTGGTATTGTCCCTGTGGGCTAAGTGGAGACTGGTGTTCTCAAGCCCGGCCTGGTGGTCACCTTTGCTCCAGTCAATGTTACAACTGAAGTGAAGCCTGTTGAAATGCACCATGAAGCTTTGAGTGAAGCTCTTCCTGGGGACCATGTGGGCTTCAACGTCAAGAACGTGTCTGTCAAAGATGTTCACCGTGGCCATGTGGCTGGTGACAGCGAAAATGGCCACCAGGGAAGCAGCTGGCTTCACAGCTCAGGTGATTATCCTGAGCCACCCAGGCCAGATCAGTGCTGGAGATGCACCTGTGCTGGATTGTCACGCAGCTCACATCGCTTGCAAATTTCCTGAGCTGAAGGAGAAGATTGATCGTCGTTCTGGGAAGATGGAAGATGGCCCCAAGTTTTTGAAAGATGGCCCCAAGTTTTTGAATTGATATGATTCCTGGCAAGGTTGATATGATTCCTGGCAAGGCCATGTGTGTTGAGAGCTTCTCTGACTACCCTCCTCTTGGCCGTTTCGCTGTTCGTGACATGAGACAGACAGTTGCTGTGGGTGTCATCAAAGCAGTGGACAAGAAGGCAGCTGGAGCTGGCAAAGTCACCAAGTCTGCCCAGAAAGCTCAGAAGCTAAATGAATATTATTCCCAACACCTGCCACCCCCGTCTTAATCAGTGGTGGAAGAACGGTCTCAGAACTGTTTGTCTCAATTGGCCATTTAAGCTTAATAGTAAAAGACTGGTTAATGATTACAATACATCGTAAAACCTTCAGAAGGAAAGGAGAATGTTTTGTGGACCATTTGGTTCTTTTGTGTGTGTGGCAGTTTTTAAGTTATTAGTTTTTAAAATCAGTACTTTTTAATGGAAACAACATGACCAAAAATCTATCACAGAATTCCGAGACCCATTAAAATAACAAAGTTTAATGAGAAACCTGTGTGTTCTTTTGGTCAACACTGTAACTTTCTGTTATACTACTTAGGTAAAAGACTTCAGAGTTGCCCATGACCCACTAGAGTGGTTTTGCTTTCAGTCAGATGGAATCCTCTTGCCCTGGTTGATCGAGGAATGCATTCTATCATTAGTGCAAATACATGTAGACACAGTCATGTCTGTTGAAATTGGCAGAATTTCATAAAATGTTAGAGCTAGTTCTAAAGTGGGCAGAGAATTAGAGATACAGAGAAGTTGAAAGGTATCTTGTTTCCTGCCCCAAACTCCTCCCCTCCCCCCACAAAATATGTTTTCTGTGCATGATTAGTTTAATAATTTTATCCTTTTGTTATTAAAAAAATGGATCTTATGCTGATCTGCCTTCTCCAAAGGCACAGAAGTTCTGGTAATGGACTTAGAAGATTCCAGCATTAGGAAGGTTGAGAACCACTGTCTTAGAAGATCATGCTTTTGACAACCATGATTAACTTTGCAGTTGGAGGGCATAGTTACAGCCGTGGGCAAACTATGGCCCATGGGCCGGTTCCGGCCCGTTTGAAATGAATAAAACTAAAAAAAAAAAAGACCGTACCCTTTTATGTAATGATGTTTACTTTGAATTTATATTAGTTCACACAAACACTCCATCCATGCTTTTGTTCCGGCCCTCCGGTCCAGTTTAAGAACCCATTGTGGCCCTCGAGTCAAAAAGTTTGCCCACCCCTGGATAGCAGCATGCCTGTAGATTGAACTACATTTCCCAGAATGCACCTCCAGGAGGATTCTGGGAAGTGTGGCAGAGGCAGCCACGGTCCCTCTGGGCTGGGGAAGCGCAACTTCCCGGGAACACTTGGAATTTCCTGGTTTCTGCTGATAATTGAGGCCTAGGACGGCACCCCCAGCACAACTCGGAGTGAGTACAGCGGGACGACACTGTTCCGGTTCTAAGTGCAGGAGGCATAATCAGGATCGGAAAAAACCTCTGTCACAGCATGTTGCCATTTTAGCTTAGCCCCGTCTCCTTACAGAAACCAGGAATGACCACAGCTTTGCATCATAACCTGTAGCACTATCTTACTAACTACAAGTAATAATTTTTTGGAGAGTCACTGAAAAATGGAATTTGCTAACTTCTCTGATGGTGCCTGGATTATTTTTGAATTAAGGGAGGAAACATTAGTTTTCAAGACGTAAATTAGGGTTCAGAAAAGAAAGCTGGTCTGAGAGACCTCGAAACCTGTATCCCAGCGGCTCCTTGGTTCTGGTTCTGTCCCAGCCCATCCCGGCCCGGCCGCTGTCATGAAGAGACAGACTCTCTGCAAAGGCTCCTCTCAACCACCGCGGAGCCCGGCCTCTGGGCAAATGAACCAGAGAGAGTCACGTGGGCTTTTGTCATGCTGCAGTGCTTGACAAATACACCTTTACAATGTTAAGATGGACAGGATGAGAAATGTGTGAGTCTTTCATTACAGAGGGATTTGCCTCCTCACTTAATAGTTTCAGTAAAGCCGAAACCGGTTTGGCTCAGTGGATAGAGCGTCGGCCTGCGGACTGAAAGGTCCCAGGTTCGATTCCGGTCAAGGGCTGATCGATGTTTCTAACTTTCAATCTCTCTCCCTTCCTCTCTGTAAAAAATCAATAAAATATATTTAAAAAAAAAATAGTTTTCAGTAAAAACAATATTACCTTTTTATCTCTATCAGGATTTG